TTTAACTTTTGTAGGAATGTATGTATAAGGATGAAATTGCATATGCAGGTACTTTATCAGAAAATTCAAGTCAAGTTCACATTTGGTCTTAGTCTGATACATGGCTTTTGAAATTTTGGTTGCTTGTAGCCAGTTGTAGGGATATTTTTGGTATTACCATAGACACAGCTAGAGTAATTACTGAAGTTAATCTAATGAAGAAGATGTTAATTTCTAATTCTGATTTTTAGCTCACCTGAGCCGAAGGCTCAAGTGAGCTTTTCTGATCACATTTTGTCCGGCGTCCGTCTAGCTGTCCAGCTGTCCGTCTGTCTGTAAACTTTTCACATTTTCGACTTCTTCTCAAGAACCGCTGGGCCAATTTCAACCAAACTTGCCACAAAGTATCCTTGGGTAAAGGGGATTCAAGTTTGTTCAAATGAAGGGCCACGCCCTCATTCAAGGGGAGATAATTGGGAATTAATGAAAATTTAGTGGCATATTTTAAAAATCTTCTTCTCAAGAATGACAAAGCCATAATTCATCATATTTATATGGAAGCATGTTCAGGTAGTGTAGATTCAAGTTTGTTCAAATCATGACCCCTGGGGGTAGAGCGGGGCCAAAATGGCCGACCAAACTTTTACATAGAAATATGTAGGAAAATTCTTTAAAAATCTTCTTCTCAAGAATGACAAAACCATAATTCATCATATATATATGGATGCATGCTCAGGTAGTGTAGATTCAAGTTTGTTCAAATAATGACCCCCGGGGGTAGGGCAGGGCCAAAATGGACGACCAAAGTTTTTAAAGATATATATAGGAAAATTCTTTAAAAATCATTTTCTAAAAAATAGCAAATCCATGATTGGTCATGGGACTACTTTTGGATTTAAACTTTACAATAAAAAGCCATTTTCTACTTTTTCCTACCCTTAGTGCTCAGGTGAGCGATGTGGCCCATGGGCCTCTTGTTATTTTTAGCTTATGGAAAATGTCCTTAAGTAGAGGGCGAAAAAAGAGGAAGGAAAGTGGACTGAGAAGAATATTTGAGCGTTCAGTAAAGGAACTCAAGACAGAGGCACACACTGAGGAAGAGGAATGGCCCTCTCTGCCTCCAGCCTCCCAAACTTCACATCCTGCTGCTGACTTCTTACAACAGGGCAGTAAAACAACAGATGATACGAGCAAGGATAGGCAATGGGAGGAGGAGAAGTCTGTCCCAGAAATGGCCAAAGATACAAAAGTGTACGGTGCATCGGAAGATGAACCACAGACAGAAGACAGTAAGAAGAAGAGTGAGAGAAACAATGAATTACAGCAAAAAGATAATGTCTTAACTTCTAGACAAAAAGAACATAATACTGATTTCCCAGCAGTAGAAGAGAAAGAAAACACACGTGACAGTCAGGGTAGAAAGACATTATCAAAGATCAGTGATAAATGGGAAAGGGAAAAGCCAGGAGGATCCAGAGAGAGTCGACATACATTAAAGGAAAACACAGTAAGAAGGATAAAGGAGGAGACAAAGAGGAGTAGAAGCAATGAATTACGGAATAAAAGGGACACTAGCAGCACATCTAGGGCAAGTGGGAGTAGAGGCCCAGTTAACAGGAGGAGAGATTCTGATGGCAGAGGCCGGAGAGAGAGGGAGAGACGTAAGGCTAGAGAGCGAAGGCTAAGCAGATCTAGTGGGAGAAGAAAAGAAGCTAAAGTTGTTAGGCCAGAAACTTCCAGATTATCAAAAACTGAGAGTGAAGATGATACAAGGAATCGGAGAGATCAGCAGGAATGTGGTGTTGTGGAGGATTGGATGAATGACCTTCTTGATGTTCCTTATCTAGATCCAACAGAAATTATAATTCCAACAGAAAAAGTTTTGCAGGACAGTAGATCATATAGAAAAAGGTTCCAAAACAATAGAAAAAAAGCATCAAACTTAACATTTCATGAGAAAAGGGATCAGTTAGAAAGTATACAGGTGTCTGGAAATTCCATGGATGACAGAAGCAATCTTGACAATTATAAAGAACAGATTTCTGAAATGGCAGTTGAAATCAGTACTACTGATAATAATGGAAGTCAGGGTTCTGGATTAGTTTTACAATTCGAAGAAGAGTGGGAATGTCAAGAAATACCAAGTGAAACAATAAAGATGGAGGAGGACAAATTTCTATCTACAGTAAACACTGACCTAGAATTGACTGAAAGTGTGATAGAAACTATTGTAGAAGAAAGAGTTACCTTAAACAAGGAGACAAATGCTCTAGAAAAAAGTAACCCAACTTGTGATTTGCATAAGATTGAGACAGAAGACAGTGATGAACTATTAGGAAATACCAAAGATCAACCAGAGATAAGAGAAACAGATCAGACATTGGAGAAAAACAGTCGAGGACAACTGTCTTCACACACAGAAAGTGATGATAGGCTTTGTGCAATGGTCAGTAAAGATACACAAGGCAAGGAGAATGATTTTACTAAAGATGGAGATTGCAAGAATATCAGTAAAATAGACACAACTAATAATGCAGGAGAAATCTCCAAAGAAGACCAAAATAAACAATGCGAAGAGGAGTGCAACAGGGAATCCAGTGATAGCCTATCTTCATCTGTGAGCTCTAAACCAGTGATGTCCTCTGTTGAGGATTGGAGCAGTGAGTATCTAGATAGTGAAGAACACTCCGACACTTACCACAAAATTGTGCAGGATAAAATTGTCGCCCTAAAAAGCAGGATACCTATGAAAATGAGTACTAGTCAAAGAGGGCCAGAAAGAGACCTTGGATGTAGAGGTAGACACAGACAGAGGGATAGCCCTTTTCAGTCATATCTAAAGACAATTCACTTTGAGGATGGAACAAACATTGATCAAAGTAATAATGCAGACAACTGTGCTATTATTGGTGCAGAGTTTAATAAAGAGTATGTACAAACAACAGAAAAGGAAAAGACCATAGCTCCAACTAGAGAGAATTTCCTCGCAAATAAAATGGAGGAAGATCATCCTTCAGTGTGCACCAAAAAAAATTCTGGAGGAGAGAGTAAGTGGCCCAGTCGACCTCCAGGGTTCATTATTAGTCTTCCTTCTCATTCTCTGGATGATATTGAACAAGTGAAACCATCACCAGCTACCATATTCCATAAAAATATCCAAAATACTGTGGAAACATTGGAGAAATGTGAAAAGCTGTATGGTAGTATTTCAAAGGAACACAAGGGAGAGAGCAGGGTAGAAGTGTCTAGTTTGTCAGCTACTTTCCAAGGGCTGGATCTGGACTCCACTTTTGAGGAGAAAAGGGTTATTAAAGACTTCAAGAATTCAGACGAACTTACAAGTAATGGAGAAAACTGGGAAAACAGTCTGTATGATGTGGATACCATGGATTTGCATGTGTCAAGAAAAGAAATGTCAGATGTAGCAGTTGTTCCTGACGTCAACGTGGGAAATTTGGGTAAAAAGTCTGTTGTGGAGCATTGTGTTCCAGAAGACCAAGAAGCCCTGGATTCTAGTGTGGAGAGCTGTAGTTTTCCACATTTCTCCAACAGGATTTGTGATTCTCAGAACACACTTAATGGAATACCAACACTCTCAGAATATGAGAATAGTGTGAAGGAAGAGGACCTGGCGTCTCAATACGAAGACTCTCTAGAGGATATAGCACATCAGAGTCCTCCTCAGAGAGAGTTTATTCCTAACGAGGAAAGCTCATCCAGCTGCAGTAAAAGCAGCAGACAGAACTATGAACATTTCCAAAGGGCACCTGCCAGACATGAGGAGAGGAGATTGGAGAATAGAAAGAAAGCATTGGAGAGGAGGAAGGATGCCAGATATGGATTGAAATGTCATTGCCCTGCCGACTGTGTTCAGTTCTGGGTGTGGAGAAGCTGCCTATGTCAGGATCCATACTTGTACAGCATACAGAGTGGCACTGATGGACATCCAGCCAAAAATGTCATCTCCCATGGTCCATGTAAGTTTATAGCTTTATACCGTGAGTCTGTGAAATCACATATCTTTGTGAGGTCAAATTTTGGGATTTGAAGAAAAAAATTCGTTAGGGAATTGTTTTCAATGTTGGGGAAATGTTGAGTAGTTCTGTGAATGAAATTTAACATTTTATAGTGCATTGTCATGTATTAGTGGGTCTCTTCATATCTGGAAAACCAATAAAATTCAACCCCCACAATCATTGGTGATTTCACATATGCAGTCAAAAAGCACCTAATGAATATTATAAAAGACACTCTTATTTGGTAACTTGTTTTAAAGATAAAAATTCATTCATCAACATTTAGAATAAAACTTTTATGAAATATTATATAAATTGTATACACTCAAATGTCTTTTCTGATCACATTTTGTCCGTTGTCTGTCTGTCCATCTGTAAACTTTTCACATATTCGACTTCTTCTCAAGAACCACTGGACCAATTTTATGTCTTCTTTAAAGAAGAAAATGATGGATTAAAACTAAATGGAACATTTGTTTTTAATTTGCAGATGAGGAAGAAAGGAGGCCTAGATCTAATTCCCTGTCTATTACACCAGACGAATCAGGAAAAGTTTTGGAGGAAGATATTGATAGCAGACAAGCTTTACAACAGAAAGAAAATGCTATCAGAAGAAGAGACTTGAGCAGTGATAGCTTATTTTCTCCCCACAGTCCAAGAGAACTAGGAATTTTAAGGACTGTAGCAAGATCAGGGAGAGAACAAGATGAATGTAGCGGTCTTGATCAGAATAACAGCAGTAATGGAGCTGAGGACGAGAGTCTGGAACTTTCTGACGAAGACTCCGGTGACAGGTGCTCAGCAGACAGTCCAACCAGTGAAGATGCAGACATCCCAGAATACAGCGCGGAAAGAGAACAAGGTTGGTATATTTTTTGTGGAACAGTCAGGATAAGTTTGGAAATTTATTTGGATTGTAAGGGCTTTTTCAGTTAAAAAAAAAATCTATCTTACCCAGAACTCTACAATAGTTTCAGCAGTAACCTTTATAGATTTTTTGAGTTAGAAGTACCTTGAGAAGAATTTAGTTTTTCTTCAGACAGGGGTAAGGGATAGAAGGAATTCATTATGTAATTTTTTTCTTCAGAAAACTCTGTACCTTACCAGTACTTGGCTTCCTATCCTCCTGTTATGAACTACATGGGTTACCCCCCAGGCTACAGCTTCTACTCTCCATATCCTGCAGCTTACCCCGGGGCACAGGCAGCTCTGGGAAGGAGGTATCCGGGCCCATACCCAGAGCCTTATGATCCTTACCCCCCTGCTTACCTGAGTGGCAGATACAGCAGACAGCAATGTGTGGATGGACAGCTTTATCCTGATCATCCAGGATATCTACCAGCAATGTTCTACCCTCACTTTATGATGGTGGATGGATGGAGGGAAGCGTAAGATTCTATTCAGATTCTTTGTTACCAAATTATTTTAAAGAGTTTGATTTAACACTGTTTATTCATCAGGGTTTGAAAGAATCAATATTTAATGATTTATTATATTCTTATATGTAAATGATTAGAAATCCATATACAGTTAAACCATTTTAATGTAGACACTAATAATCTGGAAGTTTCATATTCAGGACAAAATCTGTGGGATACAAATTTCTTAAATATTTGTCTCAAAAATATAAAAGTTACTTTATAGTCATCTGGATGCATTGATAACTCAGTTTATTTGTATGGGAACACAATCATAAGGATATAACTGTAACTTTATCTATATTTAAAACTGCTTGTAACATGCTTCACATTTTACCTTTAGGAGTTTACATCATGGTGAACCTCACCTTGGTTTTATTCCTAGATACGTCTATCCATCATCACATGAAGGTCATGAGAGTTCTACAGGAAGGTGCAGAAGGGAGTCAGAATCTCATGCATCTAGTAAGGCAATTGTAATGGTTTAAATATTCGGATTGAAGTAGGTCACAATCAGGGGATGACAAATACATTTTTCAAACACTTGCCCATGGGCAAGTGCATGGTCAAATTTCACTTGCCCTACTTCAATTTTTACTTGCCCCACCAGCACTTTATATTCATCATAATGAATTAATTTGTCATTAAATCGAAAAATTTTGCAGCCTAGGATTGTTGTTTTGAATACCTGACATTTAAAACCACCTGCCATTAAGTACTACGTACCATACAATCTGTTAATTGATTGTATGCTGATTTACGTCCCGTTCGAGAATTTTCCACTCATATAGAGATGTTGAATTGCTATAATATTTCAGCTATAGTCATGATATCTGCTGTTTGTTAAAAATAATGGTTTTGGACATTTGTTTTTTTTTCTTTTCTCATACCTGGTATGCTTAGACGATTTTGTACCGAGTTTTTCCCTAACATTGTTATGGACGATGTTCTTATCATTGGCTTTGGATCATCATTTTCTGCCTCATAACTGTCAAAACTTTCTCCATTTCTCCAATGCCAATTTGTCACTTTCAATTAAGTACAAATACATGTACTTAAAACGTTCGGTAAAACTTGTAATGAATTGCATTATGATGACACAATTAAAGTGGTTCGCATACGAAGTGTGACAAACAAAGGAAGATAACTCTTACAACAAAATAATTTTGTGGAAAACTATGACATTTTCAAAAATATTTATTGATTGATTTTTGTTTAAAGTCACTTGCCCATGGGCTAGTGCCTATAAAAAATTCACTTGCCTGCCTCTAAAATTCACTAGCCCCAGGCGTCGGGCAGTGGGATTTGTCAGACCCTGTCACAATGATTCATTTTATGGTATATTCAAGTTTTGATAGCAAAAAAAATTACGATCAATTCATGTATTGTGGACCTCAAAATGTTTTGACTTAAATTTAGTGACATAAACTTTGAATCTCATAGTTTTTGAGTTAATGAAGTTTTGAATATATTCATACTGCATATCTTAAATCAAGGAATCAATGTCTAGTTAGTATAGTATGCCAGGGCATCAACGAAAGTGGGAAACATGGGATAATTTGCATATCGGGCGGAGCCCATTTTGCATAAATTATCCCACTATAGTTGATGTCCCTGGTATACTATACTAACTAGACAGTGATTCCTTATATTTCCATTTCATTGTGAAATAAAATTGTAGATTTAGACTTTAAAAATATGGACACAGATTTAATTTACACGAGGACTCCCATGCCAATTTCAATAGTCCTCGCTCACTGACGTCAAACACAGAGCCATCCCCACGAGATTTACATGTATATTTGGCCTCCTTAGCATCAGACACAAAGACGCATGTGCATGAGATTTTCATGCATATTAGGCCTCCAAAGTTCCTGACCTATCTACCTGCCTAATTTACATTCCAGTAGAATTATCAAGAAATCAACTCTGCTAACTTTCAAAGAGTTATCACAGAGAAAAAATTAGGAACTGAAATATTTTTCATTCAACAAGTATTTACTCAGCTAGATACAGTTTGAGTTCAATTTCATTATTTAACTCTTCAGTACTCTATTAAAGCAGCCAAACCTATCAAAATAGAAAACCTGGTATACATTCTGGTGTATATGTGTCTTTGTAGGTAGTAGAGAAGTAGGACATGGTAGCATAGCAGAAGATGCTGGACATCACCACAACATTGTTGATTGTCATCATAATCTCAAGAAAAAGCCTAAAGATACAGCTGGTAGAGGTGTGAGTAAAGTCAGCTCCATCCTCACTGAAGAATTACCCAGTAAGAATGTGTACATTCCTCCTCATAAGAGAGTCCCAAATGTGCACGGGCAGTATGTAGCCAGGGAAAACAGACCTACTAACAATAAAGACATTAGCCCCCCATCCAGCCACTTGTATCAAAATTGTAAAGAGACACCCAGAACCTGGAGAGAAGAAAGGAGTCACCTGGATGGGTCATTAGATATAGGAAGTAGTGAAGTGTCATACTGGAGAACGCAACAAAATAGGATGCTCTCATGTCCCACAACCTTAGAGCATAATTCTAATGCACACAACATTAAAAAGTCATTTGCTTCTATGCACTATGAATTACACCAACAGCAAGATGGCCAGGGACAACATACTTTAACAGAACTGAGTCAGAGTGGCAATGCTTCAGAGGATGAGCCTTCAGGGTGTGATTTATTTCTGGCATCCAGCTCGGAAGATTCAACCCCCACCTCTAGGCCCTACAGGTTTAACGATCAGAAGCAGACCATGGACAGATACCCGGACACTGGTACACTGGACTGGAGATCAGCCCTGCTGGAGAGATGTAACGTCTATGGTGTGGGCTACATAGATTCACACTGTCACATCGACTTTCTCTTCAACAGGCTTGATTTCAAGGGCAGATGGTCGGATTTTCAAGTGCAGAACATGAAAACGTTCCCTTCAAGTTACCTTGGATGTGTAGCAGTTTTCTGTAATCCAAACAGTTTTAAACAAGAGGGTAAGTTTTCAAACCTACCTGTGTTGATTAGAAGACATCATAGTATGTTCTTATACATAATTATTTAATATTTTCAAAAATTTGCACAGTTAAAATGCAGTTATTTTCATACCAGTGGCAGTTCCTGGATTTTGAAGAAAATAAACTATTTTCAAAAATAAATTTATATATGCATTTTAAATATACACATTATATGGTTATCTAACATATCATTTGAGTTTGTATATTTGAGGGCTAGCTGAATATGCAGTTGAGTCATTTAGGGGCCAGCTGAATATGCAGTTGAGTTAGGTGGCTTCCTTGAGGCCCCAAGTGACTACAGGGCAAATCCCTAGTCAGCTCGGGGAAAAGAACTTGGCAGCTTTCAGATTGATTCTTGAAAATTGAGTAGGCCAATAAATATATATAATGTATATATGAAGTACATGTGTATTACATCTCATGGAGGACATGAGGTTCATGGGTCTTGTAGTACCAGAAAACCAATAAAAATATACATTATTACAATATTTTACAATGCTGTAAATCATGTTTTATTCTCGAGAACTTTATTTTCACGCAATTACGCGAGACACCGTGCTTGCGAAAATTTTATTCTCGCGTAAATTAGCATTCCTTAACATTATATAGAGTAATAACCACAATTCTTGAAAATTTTGTCTCACTTATAAAGTGTAAATGAATATCTCGCAAAATTAGGTGTTGCAAAAATTAAGTGATCTATAGTATTTCCTTTCAGAATTGGTAACAGATATTTTTAGGGCTTCAGAAATGAGGCCCAGGAATTAGACCCCTGAACCTCTTGCCTTGCAAGAACATACCAAATAAAGCCTTTTATTTACACACTAATATTTTATTTCTTTTCAAAGGTGGTACCATGTGACAGTTAGGAAGGGGGTGTACACTCTTAAATATGTTGAATCTGCCACTTTTAAACTTGATTTGTATTCTTGAGCTTTGCTATTGAGGTTTAGTAAAGGGATTGACTTCAGATAATAATTACTGTATACAGGGAAATTTTCGCCCCTTTCGCCCTTATCTCTGTTGGGCGAATATAAAACGGGGTGAATTCAAAGAATACAGTATCATTTCTTAAACAAAAGTGTAAAGGGTGAATTTAAGGACAATGGCAAGGTTCCTGGTTTTTGTGTAGAATTCTTCAGGAACTCTTGAACAGGTGTAATGGTACTAAACATGATATATTACTGCTACATTTAACCCACCAAGCCATCCTTCCTTATTAGATTTTGTCAAATCGATGTTTTTACAATTCTCAATGCATTTCCTATGTTCGTTGATAAAAAGGACATGCTTAATTTTTTACCATAAATTTTTTGCAAAATTCAGTAATTTCAGAAAGTTTATATATTATATACATTATTGTATCCCAATTTCCAATTATATCTAGATATTATGACCGAAAACACAAATTTACAAACATGACATGGATCTACCAACACTGTTCATTATTTTAGAGTTACTTCCCTTAGCATCTAATTTGTATTCATAATGGTAAAGATTGGTTGACTGTTTTATGTTAAGTAATTTACCATATTGGAAACAAAGTTTCATAAAAATATTGGCAAAGATTTATTTTTATATTTGTTTGCAATTACTACATGTAAATGGTCCCTCTTTCGCACGACCTGATACAGTTACAAGTTCTCAACATTTGTCACATTTTGCGATTGTCCTTCCCAGCATAGGCACGGTAAATAACGGCCTGTTGAGTACTGTTTACTGTCTGTCCCTGAACACAATCTACACCAAACTACCACAATTTTTCTTTCATGCTGAAGAGATGATTCTACCCGTTGAATGAAGCACATGTGCTTTTGTTTACCTCGATCTGTTAAATACGCTGTATTGGTTTTCGTTTCATAGAGAATTCTACATGGGGGATCACTCTAAATCACAGTTTTATAAGTGAATAAACCCATGATATAAACGTTTTTTCTCCGGATAACCGTGACTTGCCAATGTCCTTAAGACAGAGCAAAATTGTTTGCAAGATTGAAAAGGCGAAAATAACGTGGGGCAAAAATTACCCTGTATACATTATACCATTATATATCATGATTATATGATGCATGGATCATCAGATTAAAACCTTGCAGTAATTACATCTTTATTGTTTTATAATCTAGGACTCTGGAGGAGTTTAAGTAAAGAGGAAAATGTTTGGTTAACATTTGGATGTCATCCGAAAAATGCACGCGACTTCACCAAATGGAATTTGGAAGGCTTGAGAAAGTGTCTGCTAAATAGCCGAGTAGTGGCATTGGGGGAAATAGGCTTGGATTACTCTGGAGTGTTAGAATCAATTCATTCTCTAAAAAACATGGCTGAAGAAAACTTTTAAGAATAAAAAAAATAAGTCGCTGAAATCTAATTTTCAGAAATTGAAAGGTTTTATATCTTTAATTATGTATGCTTTCAGATTTGTTGAGACCAAAGAGCTCCAGAAATCGGTATTTAAGAAGCAGATCAGGATGGCACTGGACATGAGGAAACCCCTGGTCATCCACTGTAGGGAAGCAGAAGAGGATTGTCTGGACATCCTCAAACAGGTCAGAATGAGGTTCCCTAATCACTTTCTGTTAAAGGACCGATACATACTATCTAGACATCCTAACAATGATTATGTTTACCATGATAATCAGTAAGGCCAATGGAAAACTTTGCAAATACACATTATATGATTATTTAATATGTCATTTGAGTTTGTATATTTTGATTGAAAGATAAATACTGAGGGTATTATTTTAATTAAACTAAAACCAAATTGGTATTGCCTTATTGCAATGGCATTGTGTCTCTAAACATGTACGAGGGGCATTTCAAAAGTCCTGAGAACTGTTTAATAAAAAATTAACCGTCTTACGGATATTATTGCGTTTGATATCATTGGAAAAATCCGAAAAATATACACATATTGTGACGTCACTTTCTAATTTTCATGACGTAATATCTCCTAAAATGACGTCACAATATAGAATGTTTAGCATACTGAAAATTCGCGTTTTTATCCACATGGCATATTGTGACGTCACTTTCTAATTTTCATGACGTAATATCTCCTAAAATGACGTCACAATATGGAATGTTTATAGCATACTGAAAATTCGCGTTTTTATCCACATGGCACGATTTTTAAAGTGCTGCCAAAAGCTTATTTGAAAAAAATATTTCAAAGAAATTTTTTTTTTGCAAAGAAGTAGAGTAGGACTATCGTATTGCTTATCAACAATTCTATATTTCATTGTTTGGTTTGTTTACTAGCATGGATTATGTCCGGTTATGCTATCATCGACATTCATTCAAGATTTTAAGTTACATGATACGAAAGGATTTTCGGTCTTTTATATAGTTCTCCATTGTATGAAATAAAACATTTTCAGTATAAAAACTGAACTATATTAATGCAGTTTTCAACAAATATATTTTGAGTAACAGTACTCTTACCGTTTACAAATAAAATGTACAAAAGTCTTGCCCCTGACTTGTTTCTGTGCGTATTTTTTCTTATTAATTCAACTTCTGCGCCCCAAAACCCGCTACTGGTTTTAACTTTTGACTCCAAAAAAGGTTTATAAGTTATATAGACATGTAGAATCTTATTTAATTTCCATGAATTAATTTTTGCGAATATGTAGAGGTACGGTGGGGTTAGAACTGCGCCCGCGCCATTTTGGATTTTACAAGAAAATATGGGGCACACTAACCTTAACTTCTCTTGAGTCTTCAACAATCCCACAAATCTGGTTAATACACCTGACGAATTGATGCCATCAAATTTTGTAACATGATCGTGTATTTTTCTTTGATTGCCAACTTTGCCTTATTATCACAGTTAGGTCTGTTTTACGCAATATTTTCAGCAAGATTCGATAAAAACTTGCTATGTTTGACAATCGCTTAAACCATTTCAGAACAAGAAGATCTCCGAATAGACCACCATATGATAGATTGTAGTCTATGTAAAGATTCTACCAACTGACATTTGCGTCCGATAGCTTGCGTCAGAGTAATGAGCAAAAGTTGTTTTTAAAATTTTACATTGATGAAATTGTGTCTTTTGTTACGTCATTTTTATGGCCAGTATTGTAAGCATGCGGAAGTATGACATCATTTTTGGAGTTATTACGTCATAAAAATTATAAAGTGACGTCACAATATGTGTATATTTTTCTGATATTTCCAATGATACCAAACTCAATAATTTCCGTAAAACGGTTAATTTTTTATTAAGCAGTTCTCAGGACTTTTGAAATGCCCCTCGTATCTTAGAACTTAAATCTTGTTATTGACAGATGGTACCTAGACTCTACAAAATCCACTGTCATTGTTTCACTGGAGATTTCACATCTGCCAAACTTTGGTTGGATTACTTCCCCAATCTGTACATTGGCCTTACCCCCCTGGTAACATACAGAACAGCCAAGGGAGCACGTGATGTGGCCAAGTTCATCCCTCTTAAAAGGTTACTGCTAGAGAGTGATGCACCTTACTTTGTCCCAAGAACAGTAAGTCGTCTAACATTTAGGAATGGGTCAGTCATGTTTAAAAAATAATAATAATTTTCTTTTTCATTACAAATGTTAAATTAAGGTCAAGATCTAGTAAATGGGAGGTGCCTTCAGATTTTTCAAATTTAAGAAATTAATTCCTTTAATTATGCTTTATAACATTAGCTTGGTCAAAATATGTGTTTCGGGGCTTAATTTGTAGAAAAACAAGATGAAAAACCATATTTTAAACTGTCATTTTCAATGAGAAATTAAGAAAACCAGTATTGAAAATGGGAGTTTTTTCCATATCAGACAAAGAAAATGTATCCAGATTGCCTACAGTTTTTCAGAAAAGTTATTTGTATGTTCTTAGTCTCTACTTTAGAATAATGTTAAATTTAAGATAGGTATCGGGACTACTTTTCATTTGATTTTAAATTGAATTGCATGAAAATACTTAATTTTCTGCATAATTCTATTTGAGCTGTAAAGTACGGGAAAAAGGAAGTTGAAAGTGATTATGACGTCATAATGGATTTAGCACCGAAAATTCATTCTAAAGTCATTTACTAGATCTTGACCTTAAAAATAGTGAGGTTTGATTTATGCCCGAATATTTTTTTGATTTAATGTTTCTCCATCTTCATGTGATATAGAATTCAAATCATGATAATGGGGGATAGAATGGGGCCACAGTGCTGATCAAAGTCTTGCATAGGAATACATGAGGAATCTTTTTAAAGAATCCTCTCAAAAACAGCCAATGACAATCAATCTCAAGAACAGCAAAGCCGTAATTGATCATAAGTAGAAGCAACCTCAGGTATTGAAAAATCAAGTCTGCAGAAATCATGACCCCCAGGTGGGGCTGTAATTGACAAAGTTTTACAAAAAATCTTTAAATAATATCTTGTCAAGAACAGTATAGCCATGTCTAGTCTTATTTATTTGGAAACATCCTCAGGTAAAGCCGATTCAAGGTTTGTTCAAATAATAACTCCCAAAGGTAGGGAGGGTCAAAAATGGGTGATGAAAGTTTTACAGAGTAGTGCATATGAAACATTTTACAAACTATTCTTCATTTATATGGAAGCATCTTAAAATAGTGCAAATTCAACTTTATTCAAACCACTTTATTGCAAAAGTTTTTTTTGTAACAAAAGGAGTTGATAATAAACAATTTTGTAAATTTTAGATTCCAAAGGAGTCCATGAATTATTCTCACCCAGGGCTGTGTGTCACAGTGGCAGAGGAAGTGGCTCGACTTAAAAACATCTCGGTACAGGAAGTTCTTAAAGCCTGCCTAGAGAACACTAGAGACATGTACAAAATCTAACTCGACAAATTAGTGAACAGCAACTAGAAATAAAGAACAGTCAATTAAAAGCAAATAAGACACACTGGATGGATTCATTGTTAGGCAGATCAAGTGAAGTTTGTTCTATCCTTGTATATGTTGAATTCTCCATCAGATTAAGTAATAAAATCTAGGTATGTTTTAAGAAGTGTTATAGTGAAAGATACATGTCATCAGCTGCTGTGACAGAGGTTAGAATGGGGATTTACTGTTCAGAGAGTATTAAAATAAAAAATTCAGAAAGGTTCATTTTTCCATCAGGGAGAAATTTTAAATTCAATATAGATCAAATCCTAAGCAAGAATGTTTTTGACAACTTTGGCCTGTGAACTTGATACAAAAGATATATGTGTTAATTCACAAAAGGTGTGGACAGTTTTGAAAATATTTCCATTTTTTGCTGCCATTTTTAGGTCACCTGAGTCACTCAGGTGACCTATTGCTATCCGTTTTCGTCCGTCGTCGTGCGTCGTGTGTTAACATTTGAACATTTTCAACTTCTTCTCTGAAACCACTGAACTGATTTCAACCAAATTTGGTATACAGCATCTATAATTGAAGGGGAACATAAATTTTGAATTTCATGGTCCCCGCCCCCCTGGGGCCTGAGGGGTGGGGCCAAAACCACTAAAATTAACGAAATCTTTGATAAAAATCTTCTTCTCTACTCCTGGACATCAAGCAGTCAAACTGTTGGTATGAATGTAATGAGCATTGAGTCCTCTACCAAAATTGTGAAATTCATGGCCCCAGGGTCAGGGGTTCTAGTGCTAGGGCGGGGCTCTATAGATTATATAGTGAAAATGCATTATTTCTTTGAAAATCTTCTTCTCTGCTCCTGGGTATTAAATAAACTAACTAAGTACATAGTTATGATGAGCAAGAGTGGCTCTACCAAAATTGTGAATTTCATGGCCCCAGGGTCAGGGGTTCTGATGTTAGGGCGGGGCTCTTTTGATTATATAGTGAAAAAACATTAATTCTTTAAAAATCTTCTTCTCTGCTCCTAGATATTAAATAAACTAACTAAGTACATAGTTATGATGAGCAAGAGTGCCTCTTCCAAACTTGTGAATTTTATCGCCCTAGGGTCAGGGGTTCTGGTGTAAGGGCGGGGCTCTTGATTATATAGTGAAAAAGCATTATTTCTTTGAAAATCTTCTTCTCTGCTCCTGGGTATTAGATAAACTAACTAAGTACACAGTTATGATGAGCAAGAGTGCCTCTATTAAATTGTGAATTTTATGGCCCCAGGGTCAGGGGTTCTGGTCTTAGGGTGGGGCTCTATGGTTTATGTAGCGAAAGTGCATTAATTCTTTGAAAATCTTCCTCTCTGCTCCTGGGTATTAGATAAACTAAATTAGTATATAGTTATAATGCGCAAGAGTACCTAAACCTGATTTGTGTCAGGGGTTTACCCATTTTATGTAAGTGGGGTCTTTTGATTATATGGTGAAAATACTTTAATTCTTTGAAAACCTTTTCCTTTGCACCTGGGTATTAAGTAACTAGAGTAAGCAAGCTAAGTATATCATTATGATAAGCAATGGAGCATCTTTCAAAATTGTGAATTTCATGGCCTCTGGTTTAAAACATCAACCAATTCAATTGTTCAAAAGTCGTTACATGATACTCAGGTGACCTATAAGGCCCGTGGGCCTCTTGTTACCTCACCTGAGCTGAAAGCTCAAGTGAGCTTATCTGATCACTGTTTAACCAGACTTGCTACAAAGCATCCTTGGGTAAAGGGGAATTTAAATTGTTAACAAAGGGCCAAGTCCCCTTGCAAGGGGAGATCATCAAGAAAAGATCAAAATAGGGTCAGGTCATTAAAAAATCTTCTCAAGAACCACTGGGCAAGAAAAGCTCAAACTTATTTGAAAGCATCATGAGGGTAATGTAGAGTTTAAATTGTTAAAATCATGACCCCAAGTGGTAGGGTGGGTCCTATAGGGAATCGAAGTTTTACATTGAGACATATAGGAAAAATATCAAGAACCACTGGGCCAGAGGAGCTGAAACTTACGTAGAAGCATCCTGGAGTAATGTAAATTGTTAAAATCATGACCTCCAAGGGTAGGCTGAAGCCATAAAAGGGAACCCAAGTTTTACATTTAAAAATATAGGAAAAATCTTCGAAAATCTTTATCTCAAGAACTACTGGGCCAGAAAAGCTGAGACTAATGTTGAAGTATCCTTGGCGCTTGGGTAGTGTAAATTCCACATTCTCCAAATAATAACCCATTTGTGATTACCCTATCTCTTCTTTTTCTGAGCAGTTGCGACATAATCTTCCTCTGAATTTGTTTTCAGGTGACAATTAAGGCCCTTATGCCTCTTGTTTTGCGTTAGGTATCTTTCTAAAGTTTTTTTTTTTCCAAGTATACGAGGGTTGTTCGAAAAGTTCGTGGACGATGTCAATCTTCGTTATATTATTCTCTATAAATTTAAAATAAGCATATAATAATGTTTAAAAATATTTGTTTTGCTGATGTGTGAAGTCTTATTCCATTCGATTTAACAGAAATAAATGTACTTCATTTTAAAATCAACATGTTTCGTACCCGCGGAGCACCCTTAACGGCCATGTAACGTCAAAACATAACGTCAAGATTTTCTAAAAAAATACTATTCCTATACATTTCACACAGTTTAATCGAATGCCCACTCATTAAATTCTTTTTTTTAATACCTGACATTTATTTTTTTAAGAATTGCTCTCGTTATATAATTTCCTTTGTTAAGGTTTTAATTTCTCTTATTACTTAACACTGCTTTCACAGGATACGAAACTCTGAAGTGCCTATGTTTTTTTTTGACGTTCCAACTTTTTAAAGTTTTTGTTCAGATTTTTACAGTTAAACCGTAGCTTCACAGATTTTCCTAGTCCGATCAGGGTCTCTGTCACTCAAATACTGCCTGTACTATTTGTACATGCATGCACAACTCGCTTAAGACATATTTTCTTGATTCCTCAAACATTTTAAGATTTTTTCAGGGTTTTCCCTGAGTAAAACATAAATTTGCACCGTTATCTGCTGTTCTGTGACGTTCTAAAACGTCATCGTTTTTGTCGTTTTCAATAAGGACTACCTATCTTCTCAAGTCGATTTCTTTTCAACAATGTAACATATGAAGCCATAATTTGGTATACTAATCGTTGTAACAATTCTTAATTTGAATTTCTAGGTTGTTTTTCGTTTTTGCTCCATTTACAGAGAATATGCTTACAGGTATTATATAGTGTATTGTCTGTAACTTACTAAATTTTGACTTGCTCCGCGATCCGATTTTTTCATTTTTAAAATCTGGATAAGTTTTGAATAAATCGAAATATTTTGGAAAAATTTGATAAAAATCGTTTAGATTTATTGTAAAAATATTTCTACCAAATTTGGAGAACGTATGACGTCAATTAAAGAAGATATGACAGTTGTCCACGAACTTTTCGAACAACCCTCGTATGTGTTATTCTGAGAACTATCAGAATTGTACAGAAATACAAAAGTACTAGTTGTTTTTAACGTCTGTTTAATTTAAAACCACATATTCTGCGTTTCCCTTGTCTCTTTTCAAGCTGAAATGAAAAAAGTATATACTAGTAAAGAGATCATAATTTCTCAAAATGGCAGCGATTTCTGACAAATACAAGTTGATTCCTTACCTACCTTCGCAGGCCATTTTGGTAACACTTTGAGTGAGGTCTCGCAGAGTATCGTAATTCTTGGTCGTTAAGAGATAGTCCGTGCCATTGGCGATGCCCTTTAGTTCTTCTACAGTCATATCTCCCACGCCTATAGCTATCATTGTGACGCCACTTTCTCGCGCCTTATGGGCTTGGTAGAACGTTCTGGCTTTGCTCTTGGAGTCTCCGTCAGTAATGACAATACCCAGTTTCCTAACATTTTCTCTGCTTCCTGAAAAGAAGTGAAGAATAAAATTATAACATTTCTGGATAAATGCAGTAAATATGGTAGCAAATAAAACTGAAACCTGCCATATTCTGGACTGAAACTGCGCATCCACATATGCTTGATGGCGTCTCCCGTGTTGGTACCGCCTGGTTTATAATCAATGTTGTTAACAGCATTCTGCATTTGAACTTTGTTATGGTATCGCTTCAGCTCAAAGTTGGTGTGAACCTTGCACTCATACGTCTCTACTCCCATCTGTACCCCGTTCTTGTTAATGTCAAGGTTGTATGTAACGTCACTGACAAAGTGTTTCAGTTTCTGGAAATTGTTTTTACCAACACTACACGAGGAATCGAGGAGGAAAACCACATCTGATTTCCCAAGACATGCTGAAATTTAATGTATGGGTTTGTACTATGTTCTCAATATTGTAAAATGCAAGAAATTATCAGGAATTACTTGAATTGGTTCTTTTACGTTATAATTTACTGTATATTATGCAATACTTACTGCTTGGAGCTGAAATTAGGAGAAGGAAAGAGATTTAACCTTGTTTTAATTTGAATGAACAAATACAGAAAAACACAGAATTGTTATAGAAATGTTCATTTATGAGGGCTGAAATCATTACCTGTGCAGACCTGTCGTAGAAGGAGCGGCTGAATGTGATTCAGAGCGCTGAAGGTGTCCACTCGGAATATGTTTTTGTTGGAAGCCATTTTTGTGAGTTCGTCCTCATCCACTTCGTCCCCCACTCCGATGGTGAAGATCTCTACGCCCTGAACCTTCAGCTTGGTAGCTTCCTCCAGGGTTTTCTCCTTGTGCGTGGAATGCCCGTCTGTTATCACAATGGCGATTTTTGGAACCTTCTGGCTAGTCCTGGCTCCTATTGGAAGAAATGTCAGTTATATACTAGGGTTGACATATTCGAATCTTATATTATGTATTATCTAGACAAGTCCTCCAGTAATGATTCCTTTGGGAGCTTACGGACAAGCGGTTTATTACCTTCTTTGGTTGAGAAACTTTTTTGGCGTAAAAATTCGAGTGCTTTCCCCGTGTGAGTCTCTCCATCCACGAACTCGATCTCGCTGATGGCTTCCTTTAGCTCTTTTGTGTTGTCGTATTTGTTCAGAGAGAAGGCGCCAATTACAGGCGTGCTAAATATGACTATTCCAAACTGGACGGCATTAGGCCCAACCGTAAACTCATCAACAATATCCATTGTAAAATTCTTCATCTTTTCAAAGTTGTCTTCTCCCACACTGCCGCTGGAATCCAAAACGAAAACGATGTCGGCTGCTCCTTTCTTGCTACAGTCGCCTTATAAGTACAGACAACAAAAATAAGGAAGTTAAAAAATAAAAGATGATTTTTAAAAATATCATCCTGATTCCGACAATTACTGTGAAACTTGAACAAGATGTTTGAGACTTACTTGCTAGTCCTTTCAACTCTAAAAATAATCAGAATACATATAAATTTGACATGCTTAGTTCTCATTGTATTAATTGCAAATGGTTTATGTTCAAAATTGTGACGATAGTACCAAGCGATATGCATACTTGTACAGGTTGCTGCCGCTAGAGTGCTTTTAATCATTTTTAACCCAACAAATGTGTCTATGTGGAAGAGGTATTTGGAGTCGGGGTCGCTGGCAATGTCTTGTAATTCTTGTAGATCAGTGCTTTTCCCCACTCCTACCGTCATTATCGTTATACCGCTGTTCTGGGCCAGTCGGGCTTGCTCAGTGGTGCGGTTTTTGTAGGAGGAAACACCATCAGTCACAACAATGGCCAGTTTGGGTACCCCAGGTCGATGGCCTGTAACAGTTATGATAAAAACATAGCGCAAGTGCATACAGGTGAAAGCGGAACATAAAAAGAAAAAAATGTGATTTTAAATGACATTGGCGTCGGAAGCAAATTGAAAGTGGGGGGGCTAACTGTAAAAAAACAAAATTCTATACCTTCAACAAAAACCTGACAAGCAAAAAAAAAGGGGGGAAATGTCCATTTTCCAAGCACACGCGTGTGTGTGTGTGTGGGGGGGGGGGCGAACTTCAATACCAAACATTTTTTTTCCAAACACCACCACTTTCACCATTTTTAACCCATACTGCGACGTGTCTGTGGAAAGTGGAGGGGGGCTAAACCTACGAAGCAATGTTCAATGTGTATACTAAGTATATATTTGGAAAAAAGTGGGGGAGCTAAGCCCCCCCTCCCCTCCCCCCGGTTCCGACGACTATGAATGATATTTATTTAAACGTGTAAATAAGCTTTGTTATATCTTTAAGAATTTGTTCTTATACAAATCTATTCGAAAAAAGTCTAACATTCGTAATGTTTTACTGATCAGGCATAAAAAAAAATCGATGTATGACCGCTGAGTTAGATGTTGGACTGGTCGATGAGATGTTAGATCGCTTATGTCACACAATGATCGGAGCTTAATCTCATTTGCATTCTTTGGTGTTTAACAGTGACGGACCTGAGGTTTACATCACGGAAGACATTATGTAAAAAAAAATATATGAAAATCGACCGGTCCAACATCTCACTCAGCGGGCAAACATCGATTTTTTTTATGCCCGCTCAGAAAAAACATTACGAATGTTAGACTTTTTTTCGTAAAGATTTGTATAGGAACAAATTTTTAAAGATTTAACAAAAAACATTTATTGACTCTGTTCTCGGGCAAAATGCGTTTTGTCGACCCTCGAACCAAACTGTCTGCCTTGGACCTAATGGCATCGCAAACAGTTTGATTCTTGGGTCCGACAACACGCATGTGACAAGATCTTTCCATGGGTACCACCAAATTTGACCTCTTGACCTTGGAATTTGACCTACTTTTACAAAAAAAAATACGATACTTTAACCTTGGCCATAACTTTTGGAGCTAGGGCTTTCTCCTCTACATGTGTATTCATTGTGACATGACATTTCAGCTGGTATAAATATTTTTGACTTTGACCTAAGAATTTGACCTACTTTTTAAAAACTTTTACCTTGGTCATAACTTTTGAACAGTTAGAAATAGGGCTTTCATATCTCACAAGAGTATTCCTTGTAACAAGACCTTCCTTTAGGTACCAACAGACTTTTTGACTTTGACCTTTGGAGTTTGACATGCATTTGAGAGAATTCAACGCAAGCTATAAGCTGCCATACGGGGGAATCAGTGTTTCACAAACACATCTTGTTTATACATATATTAATGATCAATAGCTTTCTTAATTGTTCCTTTTTAAAAACCAACCCCACCTCCAGACACCTCTATTCATCTTAAGTAAGACGGTCTTTTGAATTAAACTTTTTTTAAAATTCTGAACACTTTGCTGTCGATATACTGTCAAAACCGATCATTGAAATGTGTTCTTTACCGAATGCTTTAGAGAAGGACTTGAGTCTAAGATGTTCCAATGCGTCCCCTGTGTTGGTGCCCCCTCCCCCCACGTAAGACACCTTGTCCACGGCGTCCAGCACGTCTTGGGTGTTACTGTAGGAGTCAAGCTTAAACTCGGTCCGGACTCCTGTGTCAAACGTCTCCAAACCAACCTGTACTTGAGTTTTGCTCAACACAAATTCCTTCACAATACCCTTGACGAAATCCAACATGAGCTTAAAGTCTGAGCTCGCTACACTCGCAGAGTTGTCCAGTAAAAACACCACGTCTCCCTTAGTTCCACAGCTTGATTCCCCTGTAATTCAGGTTTCTATAATGTTATTTATATTTGATATCCTCATCTGTGACGTCATAAATTCATCTTTCAAATATTGTTTTGATATTTTGTTTATTTCAAGCTGAATAGCTGGGAAAAAAACTTACCAGAAGACATTGTAACATGACCACTAATGACAATGCACACCACTAAAGTTATTCTTAAATCCATTTTTCTGAGAAAAAGAACACACACATATAAGAAAGATATGACAGTAGTCCACGAACTTTTCGAACAACCCTCGTATGTAAAATAAACTTTTAGCTATTTCCCAAATCAATCTCTCTCTCTCTCTCTCTCTCTCTCTCATGTGCTTTATGTGATCACTTAAGTGATGACTGAATGAATATATCAATATATGGATACATATAGTTATATACATGTACATGTATATTTTTCTATACTTTATCGAATTCAATAGTGATTTTAATAAACTATAATCAAAAGATTTTATCGTCTTAGAAAATGCATATTTGTGCCTTCTGTAATAAAGAATAGTAAAAATTTCATATTCCATATGCCGTGTCTTTATGGTAAATGCAATTTTATTCGCACTCTTACTTTTGCAAACAAGTGACATTTAACCACAAATCACATATACATGTATCTTTTATTTAAAAGCTTTTCCTTCCCTTCATAAAAAAATTGAAAGGTGAAAAATACTTAAAATTTCCGTGTAGCTCAGTTAGAGAAAATTTTACCTGTTCGGTCCCGTGTGAGGATGTCACTCTGTTCTCAGTCTGACGCCGGGATTGCTGATTCCGCCAGATCCGGTTTCAGCTGTGCGTGCTGGACAGTAAAACCAAATCACGCAAAATCTTCATTAGTGAACCAATACGGACTTTTGATCGGAAAGAAAGTTCGATCATTTTATTTATTGAATATTTCTTTTGATTTGCTGAATCTTATCAAATATCTGTTTGGCTCTCGGAATTTTAAATGTTTTATGAAACTAGTAATATCCAATAAATGCTTCTTCCAGGACCTTAAAACTGAGCTCTGTTCTATTCTCATTTTCAAACTCCGCGTTTCAGTCATTAGGTAAAATATATAATATATGTATTACATCCATATAAATTTAGGTCACAGGCACCTGACGTTACTTACTTTTTCCGGTTTTACCTGACGTTACTTATTACAAACAAGCAAATTTTTAAAAGAATTATGGTCCCCTGCTTTCGTTGTATATGTGGATGAGATGTCATTTTTTTATGGCATTTTGTGTCAATTTGTTCTATAGGTTCACCTTTCCCCTATCTACCAACTTTGATATAGGCTATACCAATTAACTAATCATCTCACCTGGTCAAATTCCCGTATTGCACACATTTTTTCTATGCCTGAAATTCAAATGTGTGTAAAACGGGAACAAACCGTATTGCCAAGGTGTAATAAGTTTTTATTCATATGGTTTCTTAAGAGAAAAAGCAAGCGATAGATAATGTAACCATATAGTTTATTTATAAAATAATGAAAAAAAATTCAATTATCTTATAATAATTAAAATATTTACAAGTAATTAAAGCATGCAGGACCAACTCTTAATGGCCACTTTGATTCACAGCCAAACCAAAATTTGAAGATACATTTGGTGCCAAAAATTAAAGATAAAATCAAGATATGATGATTATGATAACAAACATTAAAATGTTTCAAGACTATTCCACATAGTGCTTACTGTAGCTGTCTGTCAATAATGTTTCATCGTAAAAATAATTTGCCAAGAAAAAATTGCCAACCAATTAATAAATAATCAGAAAAAAAAATAAATAACAAAAATAATAAATAAGTAACGTTTGTGTTTTCAAACGTTTAAAAGTCTTGAAAGACAAATGATGGGTTGACATGGATTGTCAAAGTTTGGTCCAAAGAGTCTATAGCACCGCAACACATAGTAATGTCCCATTCCTGAAAATGTCACAGGGCGGCCCAGAGAGTTTATAGCACCGCAACACATAACTGCCCCACATAGAAAAATGTTCCTCATAGGAAATCCCACTCGCTGTACTTTGGCTCGTGGTATGTTAGCCTTTTCCACTTCCGCTGGTGACTGAATTTCACACGCTCTGACCATTCCAGCTTTAAAAAAAACATTTACATTTTTCAGTGTATTGACCACTATTAAACTGAATCTACACCATAAAATGGTTTAAAGGGGGGGGGTTAGGGGGGTTAGTTGTACCTATCGTTCCCCAATTTTCGAATAACTTTTTTTTAAACCCCCCCTTGATTTACAAAACAAATGGGTTTTTTAAAGACTCAGTCGCC